AGCCGAGGCAACTTTGGTGATGACGGACACGTGGCCTTAGGCAACGAGTCAGGGTTTCCTAAATTCCCCCAAAATAAAATATTTAGGTGGCGACTCTGTATCTGGCAAAACAGTCCATGTTTGGCACTTCTTTCAAAAATCTGTTTTCTCAAAACGATTTGCCGGATTTGGACTCTTTGGTTCAGACTTAGAACCGTGACAATTTGAGAGTCCGAACTGTAGTGAGCCCAATATCGAACGAAACGGGGGGAACTCGTCCTCCCGGGGTGTTCGGGAACGTCTACAGTATGACACTATATCCATCTTCTCCATGCCCTATCCCCTCTGGATTCCATACTCGTACACATACCCGTGTCGTGTCGTGTCAACACAGGTACTTCACCAAAACTAATGAGTCTGTGTAACGTAGGTTTCAAGGTCATGCATTCATCGGCTCCACAAATTTTAAGGCAAATGACACAATCAAATTCATAAGGTTTCAGCTTCATAGCATAAAGAGTCTACTATTATATATGGACTTTAGTTTTTATTTTATAATAGATAAATGAATAGATGAAAGCTTGCTGTAAAACTTCTAGAATATGAGGAACATCGTTCTCCAGCTTTATTAAGTAATAAAACTCATCTCCCAAGAAGAAACCTAGAGGAGAATCAATTTGTCTCTTATTGTTGTTCCCTAGGGAATCCATAACTTGGTATCTAGGTCTATTTAGTGAGCACAAAGTAAGGGTTGTTTGCGATGATCTAAATACGTGTACTTTTTATCTTTTTATAAAAAGATGTGCAGAAAAGTAGAGAGGTGATGTAATGAAAAAAAGATAAAAATATTGATTATATAGGGGATGCCAAACCACCCCTTAGTATTAATATTTCTTGAGGCCAACTACGTGATGTTTTTCTATCAAAGCTAGGATCCGTGCTCTTTAGAAGTGATTAAGACAAGAAATTTGGGTTGGTTTGTCTTACATCTTCCTTGTTGACAAGGTAACTACAGTGGAGGCTTGCCTAAATGCTCGATAGCCACTGAGCCACTCAAAGGATAACTAGTCACCTCACGACAAGCAGAACAAGAACCAGCCAAATTGATCAAAGAAAACTTGGGCTCTTTTTGATTGACTTCTCAGAATTTGTTTTCTGAATTTTTTTTGTTTTTTTTATTGTTATTTTTTTGTTCTGGAAAAAAAAAATTAGAAATTAGTTTGACAAAAATAAACACTAAAAAAGATACTTTTTGAATTTTTAAAAATTATTTCACCCCCCCTCAAAAAAAAAAGACAGAAAACCATATATAAATAATGACTTCCGATTTTTGCATATTTTTTGGCTTTTTTCTTATTTTTCTTTCTTTTTTCTTTTTTTTAGGGGGGGGGGGCTTATTTTCATCCTCAGTGACCTTTTTTAAGAATTTTTCAAAAAACTTTAAGCTTCTAGATTTAGCTCGACAAGACGAACCGAAAAATTATAATTTTTTTTAAAAATTCCAAAAAAAAATATCTAGAAAAGATAAAACTAAGCAAAAAAAATATCTAGAAAAGATAACAAGCTTAAGGAGGTCTCATTAAAAAAGTTGCAAGAGAAACTTTCCTCCTTTCTCCCTCACTACTTTTACCTTAAATGCAGAATCTATTTTGTAGTAAACAGCTAACCATGAGCTAAAAAAAAAAAAAAAAAAGGAAACAGACAAAGTATTGCAGCATATGGGACAGCTCCATAATTCCATATCTTCAGTTGGTCTCCAGTTATATATACTGCTTACATGCCAAAGTATTGCAGTATATGGGACAGCTCCATTAGTCAGTAAGATTATTTTGTTTTGACAAGTATTGTCCAACAAGACAAATAAAAATAGTACCTTGTACTTTCCAAGAAAGCTATGTCTCTGCCCAGTTGTCTTCATATCTATATCCCTGTCTAAAGTTTGTTTGACAGGTCAGTTGTAATTTATCTTCAGTTGTCATCATATCTGTATCCCTGTCTAAAATTGGTGGGAAAAAAAAGGAAACAGAAGCCACAGCAGCCAGAAAAGCTGATCTTGCCACTTTTGACATGGGAAGGCCAAGGACATGGGAAACATAGTTTTGGTGTTTCTGAGGGGTCTACACAAAAAGAATGGAAATGTTAACTGACAATAGAAGTTAAACCGCCAGAAAAGAAAATAAAAAATGAGGCCAAAGACAAGCATCACACACACACTGAACTGAACTCAGTAATTCATGAAACTTGCAACAATGGTGAAGGAAACAATCATGCATTATTATCCATTAGGGGTGTGCAACAAACCGATTCACCCAATGCACCCAACCAACCCGACTCGAAAAATGATGCTGCAAACAGTTTTGTCAGATAACTCAGTCAGCTACGGATAGTAACTGCAAATTTTTTTCATATAGAATGCGAAACCATTCAACCAGATCAGACCAAACTAATTAAATACATTAAATTTTATACGTGGCATACTCGTTTGTTAGCTATTGCATCTTTATCTCTTCTAAAAAATTTGTCTACAAGCTGTGTCAATAAAGTTGTTGGAAACATCAGAAGTCATTAATACAACATCGAAAAGCCTGCAAGTCTTGGAAAAGAAATGAAGTCATTATTATATTTTATAGGAAAACAGCTACCTAATGTCTATCCCAAAGCCTAAAATTTCTCTTTTAATTGATGAAGATTTGTGAGAGAGATTTCATAATCTGGCTTTGGGCCGTGGTAATGATCGGGCTAAAAAGAGGTCCGAGCGTGTTTGGGCCGAGCTAATGTTGGCTGATCCAGAGTGGTTTGCTCGGTTGAGGTCCAGGACCCATTCGGCCGAGATGTTCGTTTATCAACCCAGGCTTATTGCTTGGGCATGTAGCTCGGCAGAAAGGTCTCTCACGGACCGGCTTAACCTGTCTGGAGCTTGGCCGTACTAGAATGCTACCGAGCTCGATTATGATGGAGCTCGGCGAGTGGAGCACTCGGACTCGTTACACAGCACGGTCGTGGAAGGCCGAGGAGGATGCCGCCGGGCTATCGAGTTCCCACTAATGTTGTCTGGCGGTTTGGTTAGGTGGTGTTCTCTGGATTTGTACTGACAGATGGGAGAGCAGCTCCACGTGTCAAGAGACTAATGGGTACAGAGTTGAGCGCATAAAGTATATAACCATGACTGCGCCTCCCCATATGGAGGATGGAACATCATTTGGTAAGAAACACTCATTGTGCTATATCTCTCTCCTCCTCTCTCTCCCTGTGGGTGTGCTAACTTGACCGTTGGAGGGATTTTCCGGCAACACACTGCCGGGCAGCTCATCGCCGTTGTGTTCTCAGGTTGATCGGATAGACAAGGAGCTTGGACGAAAGGAGTACGGACAGGGATGAACATTTCCTCCCCGTACAATTACAATATCCTTATTCTTTATTTTGTTATTCTGAAACAAGCTTCTCTCACCTCTTAGCTTTCCCTTTAATTCTCATACACACTCTCTCTCTTTCTCTCTCTCTCATTGAACTTCTTTCAAATCTTTCTTAAACTTTCACCTTTGATGCCTCATATCTCTCATTCTATTTTCCTTTTATTTATCATATCCCTCTCTTAGTATTCCTCAACACCTCACCTCTAAAACTCCCTCCTCTCCCTCTTACCCTCTCTCATAACCAGAGGGTTATTATACTAGTTATTTTGCAGTGGACAACAATGAAGGTTGCTTTGGTCGGAAATCAGTGGCCAACAAATAAACCCAATAAATCTCTCTTCCATTTTTTTTTCTTTTTCTTCAGTCTTAGATTTGTACATATGGATTAGGAATTGAAGAGAAAAGTGTAACTCACCGGCTTTGTTTCTTCCTAACTGAAATCCGACTGCCAAAGTTGGTTTCGAAGTGAGTGGTTTCAAATAATTGCACGGTTGGAACCGGACCAAGAAAAGTGTAACCCGATAGAGTCTATTCGAGTAATGGGTCAATGTCAAACCCGAACCGACTCGACCCATGCACACCCCTAATATAAATCAACTACATATGGCACTTTTTGAAATCAAGAAAGCATGACATACATTGAAAAGAAAATGCAGGTCAGGTATATGGAGTTAAGCAATTAAAAAAAGCCAAAAACAGTGCACTTCTAAGAATATATATATTTTTTTGATTGGCAAAAGAAATCTATATTGATGAACCACATATAAATTATATGATAGGCAAAACATCAATAAAGAGGAGCTTGGAGCTAGAGAAAGCTCCAACCTCCAAGTTGGTGAGAAACCAACAACACAAAACAAAGGAAGAGCAACACCTAAATGACAGATAGACAAACAGCTACGACAGATTGACAAACATATGCAAAATCAGCAACAGATAGAGGAGCTTCGATCAATTTTCACATTTCATAATTGATTTCCAAAATCAGCAGCAGGTAGACATGCTCCAACCTCCTAGCTACTAAAAAAGACCAACCAGATGCAAATCAGCCACTAATGGCAATCCACGGGACAAACCAGATACAAATCTAGAATGAACCAGAACAAAACAGATGCAAATCTAGGACAAACTAGCAAGAACCCAGAGCAAGCGAACCAGTAAGAGCCTAGGAAAACTAGAAGCAAAAGCCAGAGAAAAATCCATGCAAAAACCATAGCAAACAATAGCAGCAATAACAGTCCAGAAAAAGAAATTGTGCAGCCTCAGCCTCTGCTATTCCAACCCAGAACAAATTAGCAGTCCAAATTGCAATTGAAAGATGATAAAGTTCTGGAGACAAAATGGCACACAACCAGCCCATCTAATGATTTGTAAACCTAGCTCTGATTTGTCTCCAATTGAAGGTTAAATCATTAACTGTGAAGGGAAGGTCCTTAATGGTTGTTTTCAGCCATAGTGCTCCTCTGATTTTGATAGATTCACTCATATCTGAAAAGTTTGGTTGAGCCTCTTCGAAAATACATTCGTTCCTACATTTCCATAGCGACCAAAGAACAATGAGTGGGATACCTCTCCAAATTAATCTGTAAAAGTGCTTGAAGTTTACACTCATCCACCATTGGAGAAGGCCATCAACTGAATCTTGAATGCACCAAGAAAGCCCCCAATCACGAATAATTGAAGACCAGATCGTCCAAGAAAAGGGGCAGTGATGCAAGACATGGGAAGCAGATTCAGAGTCATAGCCACAGAAGGTGCAACTGGTGAAGACAGAAGGGTCTAAAATACCAATTCTATGCATAAAATTCTGCTGACTTAATTTTGGTCTTCCAAACCAACCAATAGAAAAAAGAAACCTTAGGGGGGACAGCTCTATTCCAAATATGATTACAGATTAGAAGATGAGGACCAAGGATGGAATTACGAAAAGAGTACATTGAAGAAACAGAAAACTCACCAGTGCTTGCAAAAGCACAAGCCCAAAAATAACAGTCAGCTTTGTGAGGAGACAGAGAAGGGACTGAAGATAGGGCTCCAAGTAAACTAGATTCTTCATCCAATTCCGAAGTAAACATCACTCTTCTAATTGGAAAATTCTAATTGTTTAGGCTGGTTTTCCTTGCAAAGTATTGATGAGGAGAGCCATCTTTATCAGTTGAGAGATTAAAAATGAGGGGAAAATCATTCTTAAGGCAAGTGTTGCCATACCATTTGTCATGCCAAAACTTAATTCTATTTCCTTCCCCCACTTTAATTTGACAATTATCCACATAAAAATTGAAAACATTATTGCTATGATTCCCAATAGATAAGATGTCTTTCCAAAATCTAGAATGTTTGTAAGAGAATCTTACCGGTGGATTCCAACAAGCTTCATCTATCTTGTATTTGCTACATATAGCCCTCCTTCAAAGAGAGTTAATTTGAGTTCCAAATTTCCACCACCATTTAAGTAATAGACATGCATTTACATCTCTGATTCTTCTAATGCCCAGACCCCCTTGATTAATGCTTTTTGCGGCCTCCCCCCATTTCACTAAATGAACTTTCCTTTTCAGGTCATTACCACCGCATAAAAAAGCTGATTCAATCCTCTTGATTTCTTTGGCCACACCTTCTGGAATCTTAAATAAAGAGAGAAAATAACTTGGTAAACTAGATAAGGTGGACTTGATTAGAGTTAATCTACCTACAAAAGACAGCAGTTTTCTCTTCCACCCCGAGAGTTTGGATCTGATTTTGTCAAGCACAGGTTTCCATGTAGATTTTCTCCCGGGGTTGGCTCCAAGAGGTAGACCCAGAAATCTCAGAGGTAGGCTATGAACTTGACAGTTGAGGAGCTTTGCAAAGGAGAGCAAGAGAGCATCATCCACACCAACACCACACACCACACTTTTGTGATAATTTATTCTAAGACCAGATAAAACTTTGAAGCATCTTAGAATTCTTTTAATAAGCACCATCTGATTCCATAATTGAATTATTCGCAAATTGTAGATGAGACAAAAGGACATCCTTAGACCCAACGAGCACTCCTCTAAGAATGCCAAGATTAATTGCCCTGACCAAAAGAATGTTAAGACCTTCAAACACAATATTGAACAAAAAAGGTGAGAGCGGGTCGCCCTGTCTAAGACCTCTTTGTGGTGAGAACTCGCTAGTTGGTGAACCGTTCACAAGAATGGAGATTCTAATTGAAGAAACACAAGTTTTCATCCAAGAAATCCATTTATTCCCAAACCAAAATTGGACAGCAGAGAGAATAGGAATTCTCAGTTCATAGAATCAAAGGCTTTCTCGAAGTCTAGCTTTAAGATCAAACCAAGCTTCTTGGACTTTTTCCATCCATCCACCACTTCATTGGCAATGAACACCCCATCTAGGATGTTCCTCCCACCTATGAATGCAGTTTGTGTTTCACCAATGATGGAGGGTAGAACTGGCTTCAATCTATGTGTTGATACTTTAGCCAGAATTTTGTAAAGAGAATTACAAGACTGATGGGTCTGAATTCAGACAGGCCAGTGGGATTGTCCACTTTGGGAATTAGACTAATAAAAGTGCTGTTGATGCCATAGGTTAGTTTGCTATTCGAATGGAAGTCTACAAAAAATTGCATAATCTCAGGCTTCATGACCTTCCAAAATTTCTGGTAGCATAGCAAGTTAAAACCATCAGGGCCTGGAGCTTTGTTGTTATTGCAATCCTTAATTGCAGCCAATACCTCAGCTTCACTAAACTCTAAGAAAAGGTGATGAGAAACATAGTTTGCCCTAATGGTCTTGAATACCCCTCCCAAGACAGATCTTTTAGCCTAATCCTCCGCAAACTGTTTCTTGAAGTGTTGATTGACATCAAATTTAACCCTGTTAGGATCCTCAGAAGACACCTCATTAACTTCAATAGAGTTAATCATGTTCCTGCTCTGTCTGGCATTGGCAAAAAGATGGAAAAACCTAGTATTCTTATCCCCATTTAGAGTCCACTAGTTCAATTTGGATTTTTGGTGCCAAATCCACTCCACCATTCTGTGCAGCTTCCACATCTCTTCTCTGACCATTCTTCTCCTTGCCATGTCAGCTTCAACCAGAGGTCTTTCTTCTGCCGAGATATCAAATGCATGTAATTCCTCCTCTAAAATTTTGAGTTTGGATGAGACATTACCAATTACCTCAACATTCCATTTCTTTAATTCTAGCTTCAGATGCTTTAGTTTTTGAACAAGTATGAAGCCAACCCATCCAATGATAGAAGTGCTACTCCAGATATCGACAAAGAATTTGGAAAAGCTAGGATGAAGAGTCCAGGCATTTAGAAACCTAAAAGGTCTGGGTCCCCAATCTTTTTTATCTTCCATCATTAATAGAGGACAGTGGTCTGAAATGAATCTAGGCAGTCCCCATAGCTTCATTCTGAAATTAATCAGCCACTCAGGACCAAGCAGAACTCTATCTATACGGCTCCATTTCTCAGATTCTTGAGCATTGCACCAAGTGTGTTTCCTTCCATGAAGAGGTAAATCATTGAACTCACACTTCCCAATTAACTCATTAAGATGATGCATCCCCATATCCCTCCTGGAGCATCCTACCCTTTTCTCCTATATGCCTAATTTCATTAAAGTCCCCACCCATATACCAAGGAGCAGGGAAATGGTCTTTAAGCTTGAGGATATCAGGCCATAGAGTTGATCTAGCACTGACATCATTTGGTGCATATATGTTGATCAAAACACAATCAAAAGAGTTGTATAGGGAGCCAGATGTACCTCCTATTACAACAGCAACCAGAGAGTTGGAAGACACCAGGGTCCCAGATACATAGAAGCCCACTAGCAGAGCCTTCAGGACCCACAGACATGTATTCCATATTTCTGCATCCCCAAAGCCTTCTAACAGCATTATCAGAAACCACTGTTTTCTTAATCTCTTGAAGGAAAACAATATCAACATGCTTGTCTTTTATAAGACTTTTGATTCTGCCATTCTTTTCAAGTTTACCCAAACCCCTAATATTCCAAGATAATAGATTCATAAGTAAACAGAATAATACACTAAAGTTACCCATCTGCAGTGTTTTATTTCTGAGCTTTCCCCTCTTTAGTGATTCTGGCTTTATCCTTCAGCTCTAAGTAAATTATCTTGTTTAAAACCACATCCTCCTCACCGTTGTAGTTAACACCCAATGATTTCCCCAATTGTATAGTAGCTTTGGCTTCTTCAAGAAGATAGTTGTTTGAAGATAAGCCACTTTCAGATAGATCAGACTAAGCAAAGGTAGAAGCTGTCGGTCTAAAAATGACAGACTTGGAGGAATGCTTATGAGCTACTGCAGTTCTGAAGCCATGGAATCTAGCAAAGCTAGTGAATCCCTCTATATGAGCCTTCTTTTTCCCTTTTTTCCTCTCAGTTTGCAGTGATCCTGGATAAGGAATAAGGGATTTAACTTGGGCTATTTGATTGGGATTTAATAAACTTATTCCATTTGGCCCTAACTTGTTTGAATGCCCAGCAGATTGCAAAAGGGCCATATGACCAGATTCAATGGGCCTATTAGAAGAGCAACTAGCTAGGGACCTGTTTGGTACATGGGCCAAATTAACCTCCAAGTTGATACCAAGCCCAATGCCAGGCCCATGGCCTTCAATAAGATCGTTGGCTAAAATGACGTCCAAATTTATACCAGGCCCAAATCCATCTCTAGATTTGCTAGATGAAGGAGTTTGCTGAACACACCTCAATCTGCTATCATTATTTTTTTGAATCTTGCTTTGACCCTTCCATCAAAGTCCCATCAACACATGCTCCCTTTGTCCTGATGAAGCCTCCATCACAGAGAGTCTCTTCAACCACAGTTCTTATTTCCACCCCTATATGACTGTAACTAGGCTCTTTCCTTTGTTCAATCTCGTTTGTGCAAACCAGGTCAGTACCTAACAAAGCTCTCATTTGTGCCACCTCATCACCATCGTTTTTGTCTTTGACAGCTACCTCTGGAGTGTTTCTACCCTTCTCACTGTAACTGGTTTCTATGAAGTTGGAGTCTTCCATTCCTGATAGCTTCAACCCACCAGAATTTGCTAAATGATCTTCGCATACAAGAATGGAATAAGAAATGGCCTTACACTCCAAAAAAATGGTTTTGTTGATAAGTTCCATGCACGCAGTAGCCACTTTGATTCTAGTGTGAGAAAAAGATTTAGGATGACAAATATCACCATCTAGGCTGAGAATGGTAGCCCATACCTTACCAATGTTGTTAAGTGTATTCCTATTCCAAAGATGCAGGGGTATACTATAGCACCTCAACCAAACGCACCTCTCCTGCTGCAGATGAAGATTTGGCTTCCAAACCATCACAAATTGGCTCTAGCCCTTGAACCACTCTCTAAACTTGCCAATGTTTGACTGTAGCTCATTGGTAGATTTAAAAGATAGTATCATATCTCGACCTCCCCCTTTCCTGACTTCTACCTTCTCCAACCCTTTCTCTTTCAGAGCTTTCAAAATGCTGTGTGTGATATACTCTGTGTTAAATCTAACTATTGCACTATCATAGAGCCAACCATTGCCCTCTTCATTAACTTTTATAGTTATACTTGAGTTCCCATCCAAAACAGCGGTATCTCCTTTTAGTACTTCAACAAAAGATCTGTGGTCCACATATGCAGCATTGCCCCTGATATTAGTTGTACCTAAGCTCCTTTTGGTATCCTGAGACTTTCTCATGCTCTGTTCAGATCTGTTATTCCTATCATAGGTAGCCATTTTAACCATAAGCATCATATCATCCACGAAAAGGTCATTGGCTTTTTGGATGGCAACAGATGCTGCTATATGATAGTCAAAACGGACAAACCCGAACCTTGAGTTTGTCATTTTCCTTCTTTTGAATGGGATGAAAGCATCTTTCACGATCCCGAACTTGGTAAAAAGTTTGTACAGAGCTTTAGCGTCCATTACTGAAGGGATGTTATCTACAAATACAGTGAAGAAACCATTTTTTCCTTCCTTACTCTGAGCGCCACCGCCTTTCCACTGTCTTACCACCGGAATCCAACCACTGTTTCTGAGTTGCACCATTTCTTCTTTTGTATTCATCTCTGCAATCAGCTTGTGGAAAAAAAATGCCACGATCAAAAAATCCATCACCATTGACAGTTGAAAGTCATAGTAATTTTTTATTTTTAATTTAAAATTGTCAAATTTTTCTTAAACTGCCAAAACAATTAGAAATTTAATAAGTTAAACAAAATTACTTTTCAATGAAGTACTGAAATAACATTCTGGTCAATGTTTGGACCATCAGGTAAAATTTTCTTAATCAAATTCTTTTAATTAAGCATATAATTTGGGCGATTTCATGACAGAACCTAGAATGATTAAAAGTTCAAGCAGAGAAAACTTACTTGGGTGGATGAAATCATATGAACCTCATTGCCACCATCTATAGTCCATACTAAATTGCTCTGTGGCTCCAAGTAAAAATGTTCCTGACCTCCTATTTGAACGTCACCCTCAATGATTCTGTCACATTGACCTAATTGAAAACAAAGGTCTACCTCTCCTTTTTCTAAACACCTTTCTGTATTAGGATGGAAACTGTTACATTTCATGGCCTCCTCTATTGAAAGGACTGTTGGGAGCTCTTCATCTTGAACATGAACCTTTCTCGCTGCTAGTTTCGCATGTTGATAGGTATCAGTAACCACCACTCCGATAGCCTTCATAACACACCTCACACCACTATCCCTTGTGGTTAGAACCAAAAAATATATGTATAGGTGTGATTTTAAATGCTATCAAGCTAAAATCATCCAAGATAGCTTGAATAGCATTTAATGTGAGACCATTTATTTTCTTCCACAATGAACCGTTAAAAAAGAAAAAATTGGTAATGATGCCTCCATTTGTAAAAATTATGTTTTAGAAAATGGATCTGTGACTTCAAGTACTGTGTAAAATGCAGTAGAATGGCACCCTTTCCATTCTTCACTGAAAATCTATGTAGATGA